TGCACCCTCAGATTCCAGATTTTCAAATATTGTCCTATCCTAACAAACCATACATCAATGGAAAGCTTATTTATTCAGTGTATGTATACATCTAAATTTCCAAAAATTGACCCTTATGACTGGTTTTGTGCTCCAGGGTCACACATTAAAATGATTTCTGAAGGATCATGTGACACTGAAGACTGGAGTAATGCTGAAAATTAAATCTATTTGATCTAATTATTTATTTGGATCAATAATATATTATTGTTTTTAAGTTATATAAATAATAATATATTTAAAAAGTTATATTTAGTGTCCTAAACAGATGCAATGATTTAAAAGAACCAGTTTTAGCGAATGAATCAGATATCAGTATTGTGTTTCTGTGCATGTTACGATTCTCACCAGACACTCTCCTCGAGCGCAGACGCTGAACAGATCCGTGTAACTGCAGCGCGTCCCATCATGCATCACCTGGTTCATGAAGACGACTTCACCCGTCTCTGTAGAGCGGCAGCTCAACTCGCACTTATGAGCCTCTGAAATACACAAACAGCCACGAGACGTCAACATCTCGCCCTTGAAGATCACAAAACCAGTCCTGCGTTGATGTATTAGCAGAGAATATCAAAGGGCACATCTCTTCATATAAAGGCCAACAGTCTTCAGCTCACATAACAGTGACTGTAAGCGTGCAGATGAGCTGCAGCTCCAAAGTCCTTTCACAGAGTCTGTCTCTGTGATTAAAAGCCATGCTGTGAATAAAAGTGTCTGCTAAGTGACCACCTACTTACTGTCAAGAGTTCACAGCTCGTGAAATGTCTAAAGGTGAGCCTTGACTCATATCGACTCACACACACATAATATGCTAAAGAGAAGCACAATGAGAGTCAGCCGCATTGAACAGTGAGACGTGGCCGTAATTAATGCCTTTACAGAATATTGATGCATATGTGGATGTATGCAGGGTTTTTCTCTCTGCTCTTCGGTCTATCTTTCTCACAGGATCCTTATTTTCTCTATCCGGTTTCTGCCAGGAACATTGTGTTCCCGTGTCCCACTCGGTGTCTTGCACTGTGGTGAATTCAGTGGTTTTAGGGTCACAGTGAGTCCTGCTCTTTCAGAGAGATTGAATTCATCACCAGACATCAGAGGCAGAAATTAACCGGGCAGCAAAAGTGACAGAAATACCCCAGATATTTTAAAAATAACACTAGCATTCAAACGTTTGGGGTCAGTAAGTTTTAAAGAAAAAACAAGACCCTTAAGTCTCTCATGCTCATCAAGGCTGCATTTAATTGATCAAAAATACAGTAAACATTTGAAATATTATTACAATTTAAAATAGCTGTTTTCTATGTGAATATATAGCAAAGTGTAATTTATTTCTGTGATGCGCAGCTGTATTTTCAGCATCATTACTCCAGTCTTCAGTGTCACATGATCTTCAGAAATCATTCTAATATGTGCTGCCCAATATTTTTGAGGAAACCGTGATACATTTATTTTTCTGGATTCACAGATGAATAGAATGTTCAAAAAGAACAGCATTTATTTCAAATAGAATCTTTTTAAATTATAAATGTCTTTGAATGCATCATTGATGAATAAAAGTAACAATTTGACCCCAAACTTTTAATTGGTGGATGTATTTTCTACAATTCTGTTCAAATATCACCGCAAACCACCATGGTTCATGCAACATACTTTTTTTTTTTTAAGGTTCGAAAAATAAAGTTAAAATGCTCCAGAACAGGGTTTCCAAACTGTGGTTTGTGAATTGATGAAAAGTTGATAATTAATTCAATAACAAAAATGTAAAATTAAAATAAATCATAAAAAAAAAAAAATGAAAGCAATTGAAATAAAAGCCTAAAGAATTAATTAGTTTATTTTTATAATATGTTCAATTTGATAATATTTTAATAATTGAATAATATTTAATAATTGAATGATTGGTCGGCGCTGATAGCCTTGTGGTCCTATATCAATAAAGTCAAAACATTTTTTTGAATGATTGAATATTATAATACTTTAATATAAAGTAATTCAATACTTGAATAATTATAATATTATTACAATTTTTTTTATAATATTTTAATATTTTATTTGTTTACCTGCACCTCATGTAACCATTAACTGACATCAGAGACACATACAAAATATAATGTTGATAAAATATCAAAATATTAACTAATTAAATAATTCAATTATTTCAAGATATTCAGCTTACAAAAATGTTTGGGAATACCTGTTCCAGGAAATCAATTCCAGAATGCAAATATAAATATATTAATATAAACATTTTATATATTAATATATAAAGTGAAAAAAATGGATTTAGCTGCATTTCTCTCACCATCAGAGTGTTCATACGGCAGCCACGTGTGTTTGATGTTATTGTGGTATTTATTGCTGCGCTGGATGCACTGCTGCGCTCTGAAGTCCTCGTATGGGCCGGGACAGTCCTCTGTATTACAGACCTGATAATCGAACGTCGACCCCGGACAATCACGACCTCCATATGCAGGCCTGCAGAGACAGAGAGGAAATGACTAACAGAGCCATTTCACTCATTCATGAGCTGGTGTAAACAGGTTTGTAACGCACACAGGGTTGTTGCACTGGCGGCTGCGGGACCGAACGCCTCCTCCGCAGGTACGAGAACACGAGCCGAACTTTCCCCAGGAACTCCAGCCTCCGTCGTGACCGTAGGGCTCATGGGACGACCTCCAGATGCAGTGGCCTTTAAAACACCACTGCAACACACACACATTTACCAGTATCACTAACCCACAACCATTACTATACATAAACACTGTGTCCTTAACATATCACCATATTAGTTGTAGATTGAAATATCAATGGCTATTGTTCAATTATGTCATTAAAATATCAGCAGCTATTGTTCAATTGTGTAATTAAAATGTCATTGGCTATTGTTCAATTAATCTTAAAATAATCATGCTATTGTTTAAATATGAGATTAAAATATCAAAGGCTATTTTTCAGTTATGTAATTAAAATATCAAAGGCTATTGTTCAATTAGGTAATTAAAATATCAAAGGTTATTGTTTAATTATGAGATTAAAATATCAAAGGCTATTGTTCAATTATGAGATTTAAATATCAAAGGCTATTTTTCAGTTATGTAATTAAAATATCAATGGCTATTGCTCAATTCATCTTAAAATATTAATGGCTATTGTTCCATTATGAGAATAAAATATCAATGGTTATTGTTCAATTATGTAATTAAAATATCAAAAGCTATTGTTCAATTGTGTAATTAAAATGCCAATGACCATTGTTCAATCATGAGATTAAAATATCAAAGGCTATTGTTCAATTATGAGATTAAAATATCAAAGGCTATTGTTCAATTAGGTAATTAAAATATCAAAGGTTATTGTTCAATTATGAGATTAAAATATCAAAGGCTATTGTTCAATTAGGTAATTAAAATATCAAAGGTTATTGTTCAATTATGTAATTAAAATATCAATGGCTATTGTTCATTTAGGACATTCAAATAGCACTGTTATTATTCAATTATGAGATTAAAATATAAATGCTATTGTTTACTTGAGAGATTTAAATATAAATGGCTAATGTTCAATTAAGGGATTGAAATATTAGTGGCTATTGTTCAATTATGAGATTAAAATACCAATGGCTATTGTTTATTAAGAGATTAAAATACCAATGACTATTGTTCAATTATGTAATTAAAATGTCAATGGCTATTGTTCAATTAAGAGACTGAAATATCAATGTTATTGTTCAGTTAAGAGATTTAAATATCAATGGCTAATGTTCAATTATGAGATTAAATATTGGTGGTTATTATTCAAGTAACGAGTACAAATAGCTGGCTGCCAAAGAGTCTGATGTGAGATTGACATTTTGCAAATGCTGATTCCAAAGCAAGGTCATTTTGTTCTTGAGCCAGCTGAATATACAAATATTTTATGAAGGTTGTATGAAAAATGCGATATACCAATTTCATTCAATTGTTTGGTGGTGTTGACAAGAATCAGTGCAGTTTCACCTTTCCTGGTGCACACTCCGTCCCGTCCACCGGCGGGCCCTTCTTGGTCTTACAGAAGTACTGATTGTCAGGATGACTGCACCAAAGCTGCTTACATGGGTCATATGTACGGAACTGGAGGAAGAGAGAGCGACAAACTCATGGAATCATATTTCATCAAAATGCAATAGGTTTCTCCTGATTTAGCTCTGCAGATGCAGATTAAACAAGCTCATGTTGCCCATCTCATCGTAACCTGCTTGAACTTTAGTCTATGTTCACAGATCAGAGCTAAATATAGAGATAGAAAGATGCTTGAGGACTTACTGCGGTGCACATCTTATACCCCACACCGAAATCAAAGCGGCACTGCTCATCCATGGAGTAGTTTATCCCGGGAAGCTCTGTGAGTTTAGGCCATTTCAGCTCAAACGGATCATCCAGAAGACAGTCATATGAGCTGAAAGATAAAAAAAAAATAAAGCGGTATCAGTGCACTGCTCAAAAACACTGATCAACAAATAAATATGCATTCTTTCTTTTCTATTTAAATATTGGTATTGATCTATTAAGTGATTATGACAATGCCTATTGTTCTATTAAGAGATTTACAAATATCAATGAGATGAAATATCAAAGAGATTTAAATATCAATGGCTATTGTTCTATTAAAATATTTAAATATCAATGACTATGTTCTATTAAGAGATTTAAATATCAATAGCTACTAAAATATCAATGGCCAATGTTCTCTCAAGAGATTTAAATATCAATGGCTATTGTTATATTAAGAAATTTAAATATCAATGGTCATTGTTCTATTAAGAGATTTCAATATCAATGGCTATTGTTATTTTACGAGATTTAAATATCAATGCTATTGTTCTTTTAAGAGATTTAAATATCAATAGCTACTAAAATATCAATGGCCAATGTTCTATTAAGAGATTTAAATATCAATGGCTATTGTTATTTTACGAGATTTAAATATCAATGCTATTGTTCTTTTAAGAGATTTAAATATCAATAGCCAATGTTTTATTAAGAGATGTAAATATCATTGGCTATTAAAATATCAATGGCTATTGCTCTATTAAGAAATGTTAATATCACTGGCTATTAAAATTTAAATGGCCAATGTACTATTAAAAGATTTAAATATCAATGGCTGTTGTTCTATTAAGAAATCTAACTTAACTTCCTTCAGTTGAACACAAAAGGAACAACATGAGGATGTGTAAATGTCCACAGCGTCAGATTTAATGGCATTTATGTCATTTCTTTCTCTCTGGAGAGATTATGTTACTGGTTTTCACTCCCTACTCATGCTTCATCTCTCAAATCATCTTCAGTGATGGACACTGAGGATCCGAGCAGAAGTAAGGAGCAGCTTCCTACTCGATGTAGCGGTTGAGCTCCTGTTTGCTGCAGCGGGACCAATGGTAGCGGTGAAACGCGGCCTGGACCAGCGGAGCCATGATGCTGCCCATACTGGTCTCGTCCGAGCAGCGGTTCCCCTGGCCGTCATGCTCCATTCCCAGCCTGAAACATTCAACACAATCAGCAAACTACTGGTCAGTTTCATCAAACAGGGTGTCCTGTAATGTTTGGTAGAGTGAATCAGTTAATTTCAACTATATAATGACACACTGATTAATTCCTGCACATTCTGAACTTTCTGCTTATTTGTGACCCTGGACCACAAAACCAGTCATAAGGATCAATTTTTTTGAAATTGAGATTTGAACATCATCTGAAAGCTGAATAAATAAGTTTTCCATTGATGTATGGTTTGTTAGGATATGACAATATTTGGCTGAGATACAACTATTTGTAGATCTGGAATCTGAGCGTGCAAAAAAATCTAAATATTGAGAAAATCATCTTTAAAGTTGTCCAAATGAAGTCCTTAGCCATGCATATTACTAATGATAATGTACTAAATATCTTCATGGAACATGATCTTTACTTGATATCCTAATGATTTTTGGCATAAAAGAAAAATGTATAATTTTGACCCATACAATGTATTGTTGGCTATTGCTACAAATATACCCCAGCGACTTAACACTGCTTTTGTGCTCCAGGCTCACATTTGTAGTGTAATATTTATACGAGTTGTTTATTACTATGTTTTTAAATTATTTCATTAGTTGCATTTAGCATTAATTTGTGATCAAATCAAATGCTGTTAGTTAAATCTCACTACCAAACAGTTTGGGTAAGATTTTTCTTTTCTGCTCACAAAGGCTGCATTTATTAGATTAAAACTACAGTAAAAACAGTAATATTGTGAAATATTATTACAATTTAATATAACTGTTTTCTATGTGAAAATACCATAAAATGTGTTTTATTCCTGTGATGCAAATCTGAATTTTCAGCATCATTACTCCAGTCTTTAGTCACATGATCCTTCAGAAATCATTCTAATATGCTGATTATAAAATGATTTGATGAACAGAAAGTTTAAAAGAACAATCAATTTTAAATAAAAATGGTCTGTAGTAACACCTTTACTGCTAATTTTAATCAATTGAATGAATTCTAAAAAATAAAAAAAATACATTTAAATTTTAAATACATTCCATTAAAATACATTTTGAACAGTAATGTTTATACTGTATATTCTAATAGTCTTATTATGAATGATTCATTCGTGCGCATCATAAGATGCGTCTTGATCTTCATTTACATCAAAATTTAATGATGTTAAAGAAACAGCTTTCCTTTTCAGCTGACCTCATCGATCCATCTTACTTTGAACCATGAGTCATATAGAAACACTCTTTACACCCAATGAATTCATCATTAAAAAAACTCAAGTATCAACCTACTGTAAAGTTCTGTTCATTCAGTATCCTGATTCATTCAAAATACATCAGATTATGGAAGTCAAGTGGCTGTCTTACAGTGTTTACGTGACTTAAAGCACTTTAAACTATACACAGCTTGATAAACTACAGTCTTAAAGCAGCTTCTCCACATTCCCTGCAGCGCAAGAACATCCGACTATAAGCAGAGCATTTCTTCCAGCTCATGTGACTGTTGTCAGTGTTCACAGAGACACAGCAAACATTAAATCTGCAGTCATCGCTGATGAATCACTTTATGAGGAAACAAACCACAGCGAAGAACAGAAGATGATTCATGTCTGTTCTTAAGTTACTGAAGACCTGGAATGAACCGGAAAATATAAACCATCTTGCAAAATGGCAAAAGGAGCCAGTTTTTCTCATGGCAGAGCTCTGTTCTACAGGGGGCGCTATTGAGCAGCATTCATCTCAGCAGTACATGTTCATACTATGTTCATGTCCTCCAGCATGTTCCTACTTCTGTGTTGTAATTACAATGTGCATTCAACTAATTTTGATCATAATGCAATGGACATGCTGAGCAATTTCATATTTCTTTCTGCCTTTCTTGCATATTAGGCATACAACAGATGCTTTATGTATTTTATCATGCTCATGCCACCACACTAAATGATGCCTCATAAACTAGCTGAATGAGTAGCTTTTTCCTGGCAGAGCTTTATCGCCATTCTTCGCAAACAGCTGACAAACTGTGTAGGCAACATTTCACAATTGCAACTTAAAGAGAGGATTCACCCCAAAATGAACATTTGCTGAAAATGTGCTCACCCTCAGGCCACCTGAGATGTAAATGAGTTTGTTTCTTCATCAGATTTGGAGAAATGTGTCTCAGCAGGGGATGCTCTGCAGTGAATGGGTGCCGTCAGAATGAGAGTCCAAACAGCTGATAAAAACATCACAATAAACCACAAGTAATCCACAGCACTCCAGTCCATCAGTTAAGATCTGGAGAAGACAAAAGCTGAAACAAATCCAGCATTAAGATGTTTTTAACTCAAATACGAGGCAACGATCCATAATAACGCTTCCTCCATTGAAAAAGTGTTCTGGTCTGAATCAGAAGAGAAATCTGCACAGATCAAGCAACGTTTAAACAGCTCTAAACACATATGTGGCTGGATTTTGATGAGAGACAGACAACAAGATGTGCACTTTTTCACTGGAGGAAGCGTTATTATGGATTATGGACTCGTATCTTAGCCAGAAGCAATGGTTTGAAGTTAAAACATTTTAATGTTGGATGAGTGCTGTGGATTACTTGTGGATTATTGTGATGTTTTTATCAGCTGTTTGGACTCTCATTCTGACGGCACCCATTCACTGCAGAGCATCCATTGCTGATTTCTCCAAATCTGATGAAGAAACAAACTCATCTTGGATGGTCTGAGGGTGAGCACATTTTCAGCAAATTAAAATTTTTGCTGAATTACGCCAAATAAAAACTTGCTTGTTGAATGACACTCCTCACCAAGTCTCAAAGCGTTCCTGCTAATTACAACACTGTGCTCATAAACATAATTATTATAAAAAAGGCAGGAGCAATTACTGGAAATGCATGCTAACGTGCCGTGCTTTACCTACACGATCTTAAACACTGATGGCATGCTCACAGTCAGGATTAGAAAGCAGATGTAAACTTACACGTGTCCGGTTTCGTGCGCCACCACAAAGGCAGAGGAAAAGCCGTCTTCGTGGTTGAGCGTGCAGCTCCGCAGCGGGTGGCACATGCCTGTTACCGGGGCGTAACCTAGGCGACAGAGATCAAAGGAAAACAATGATGAACTGGAATGCGGGACATTCTAGAACTCAGATCAGAGCCAGGCGAGTTTCATTTGGAAAGTCTAAGATTCCTTCACTGTCAAATCAAACACATCAAAGCTCACACAACGTGGACACCCAACTCAACTTTTAGACACAATCACTTCACTGTTCCATTAGCAACGGCAATTCTGAACTTTAAATATGACTTTTCAAAAAAGAAGCTATTCTCTGATTTCCTTTCTATGCTGCTCTCTTCCAAAACCAAGTGAGCTGTCGTTGATTATAAACATACTGTTTTACACATACACTACCATTCAAAAGTCTCTTCTGCTCACCAAGGCTGCATTTATTTGCTCAAAAATACAGTAAAATTGTGAAATATTATTAGAATTTAAATGAACTGTTTACAATGTGAATATATTGTAAAATTTAATTTATTTCTGTGATCAAAGCTGTATTTTCAGCATCATTACTCCAGTCTTCAGTGTCACATGATTCTTCAGAAATCATTCTAATATGCTGATTTGCTGCTTAAGAAACATTTCTGATTATTATCAATGTTGAAAATAGTTGTGCTGCCCAATATTTTTGTGGAGACCCTTAAACATGTTTTCAGGATTCTTTGATGAACAGAAAGTTCAATAGAACAGCATTTATTTGAAACGGAATCTTTTAATACATTCTAAATGTCACATTTGATAAATTTAATGCATGCTTGATGAATACAAATATTAATTTCCTTCAAATAAAAATCTTACTGACCCCAAACTTGAATGGTAATGTATATTTCATCATAAAATATAAATATAAAAGTAGTTTAATTGAAATAAAAACTATATATAACTTTGGTGCGATTTAAAATAAAAACAAACAAATGAAGATCATTTTAAATGGAGATTATTAGAGTATGTTTTGCAAGAAAATAGCATTTCAGTCTAGTCACGTATTTGTGATTTTTGAGTGAAAATTGGTTTCACACCACTTATTTTCCCTATTTTTTTATATGTGCAATTTACAGTGCAGTTCAGATTTGTACACGTTCTCCACTATTGCCTCCACGTAGAAGCGCACAAGCGGCTGCAACCCGATCAATCCCACACAACTACTAGCCACGTATAACAGGACACAGTGTTCATACGACACACAAACACCACAGAAAGCACGACACAGACACTCGATCAAGAGATGTGCAGTGCTAGAGCTTTAGTTTAGCTGAGCTGCTCCGGAAGCTAAAGCCAGTCTGGGCTCTTTTTAACGAAACGTTCATGCTATTGAAATCACCGACAGTCTTTGGCATGCAGGTGAAAAGCAGAGGATGCAGATTATGAGAAGCTTACAGTATGAAGCGTTCAGTGTTTTAATGCCTGTTAAAGCATCAATAATAACTGGGCCGATCCAGCATCATTTGATTACATGTGTAATACTAGAGATATTCCCTCAGCCATGTAGGTTTTATTGGATTTTTTACATAACCAGAATAACAACAACACAAAAATCAAACATGTATTTAGCCAGCGAAAGGGTTGCATAAGAAATCAAGCTACTAGCCGAGCCGTTTATCTGTCTTCAGATAAATGTCCTCCAGGTGAATGCAGCTTTGCATTGCTCTGGAAAAGCGTTGCGTTGTCAAGTGACAGCGTCTGGCAGCAGTGCTGTAATCACAGGGTATTAGATGACATTAATCTAGGATATTGAGACTGATATTAAAGTGCCGCCGCATGAAGATATTTCCCACAGGATAATACTGGTTTCTCTACATGTTTGCCCTTTAACATGTAACATAAACATGTTGAACAAAAACCCTGAACCTTGTACAGCATGTCAGGAAGAAACGTAAATACTTTTGCAAGCATTTCCTGAATTCATCACGCTATTGTAATTTCTAGGGAATAAAAGCTGAATGAAAAATTAAATATTTTTAAAACTAGATATATTTTATTATAAATATATATAATATGCATTATATATATATAAACACACACACTGTTTATTACATTTAATACATAATTAATTATTTTATTTTATAACAAAATATATCAAATTTATCAAACTATATTATATTTATATAAAATATTAAATTACATAATAATATTATTTTACATATTATATACACTACAACACATTTAAACCCAGACAAGAAACTACGTTTTATATATCTAAAACAATGAAAAACACACAAATCATGGATTAAACTATTTTCAATAATTTTTTTAACCATTTACATTTTTCATAACAAAGCTCATATAAAATAAATGTAAAAAACAACAAAACCAAAACATGTAACATTTAGTTTGATGCCCTGAGGTGGATGAGCAACATCTGAAGGTGAAGCGACTCGTTTCACTGACGCTTTACTGAAAAACAACAGTGATTTGACAGCTCTTTTCCAAACCACGTCATTCCTAATCACTACCGCTGTTAATAACACAGGCACCGCTGAATCAGTTATTGCTTGACTCCATCTGACTGCACCAACCCTTTCCCAAACACCTTCAGTCATGAGTGTTACTGTGAGCAATGCGTGCGTCTATATCTGGGCTCTGAATGAGGCTTAAAGCTTGGGACGGGAGTGTGATGTTTGCCCTCGGGGTAAAAGGTTGCCGTTCTGCGATGTTATGAGCACAACAGAGACCGTGGCGTAGCAACAGCACAAAACAGGTATTACTGACTGTCTTTAAAAATCACACAAGGATCACGAAACCTAAACACACATTCATTCGAAATGAGTCCCTAAACTTCAAAAAGACTGAGTTAGAGACAAACACAGGACAGTAATACAGTCAGTGTGTGAATGTCACTGCATTAGAACAAGATATTACAGGAGTCAGGTATAGTAAAGAAAGACGTTAAGATGTCCGCATCAAAAGAAATTTACAAAAGTGATTTTATGTCCATAGAAAGCACATTAAATGTAAATAAAGTGTCTACTTTTAAGGTTTCAAATACGTCTTTGGAGAATAAAATGTCAAAATTTGTTTGAAATAATGTAACATTGTCATTCAGTGTAACACTTATAGTTATGTAAAAATTCAAACAACATGCTTATTCTGACTTGTACATATTAAAATATATAAAAGAATAAGGGAGCATATTAAATTTTATTGTGTTTTAAATGAGTAAAAATTCTTACTGACAAATGGGCAAAATCTAGGATAGTGGCACATTTAAAAAAAACATTTTAATTACAACTAATTAGTATTTGGGGTGAAAATAATTAGTCTTTTAATATGTCATAAATTGATTTTTGTTGTAAATATGCCTGACAAGATTGTTACACTGAAT